CCTGCTCTGCGCGCTCCTGGGCGCGCTGTGGGAGATCGGGATGGGACAGATTCACTACTCCGTGCCAGAAGAGAGCGACAAAGGATCCTTCGTGGGCAACATCTCCAAGGACCTGGGGTTGGAGTCACAAGAGCTGGCAAAGCACGGAGTCCGCATCATCTCCAGAGGTAGGTCACAGCTTTTTGCTCTAAACCAGAGAAGTGGCAGCTTGGTCACCGCGGATAGGATAGACAGGGAGGAGCTCTGCGCCCAGAGCCCTCGGTGTCTTGTAAATGTCAATATCCTGGCTGAGGATAGAGGAAGACTTTTTGGGATAGAAATAGAAATCACTGATATCAATGATAATAACCCGAAATTCCAAGATGAAAGTCTGGAAGTAAAAATTAATGAAATCGCTGTGCCTGGCACACGTTATCCACTCCCAGAGGCCTTTGACCCAGATGTGGGCTTGAATTCCCTGCAGAGCTACCAGCTCAGCCCCAATCACCACTTCTCCCTGGACGTGCGAACTGCAGACGACGGAACTATAAACCCTGAGTTGGTGCTAGAGCGCGCCCTGGACCGCGAGGAAGAGGCTGCTCACCAGCTGGTGCTCATCGCCTCTGATGGCGGCGAACCTCGTCGCTCCAGCACAGTGCACATCAAAGTGACAGTGTTGGATGTGAATGACAATGCCCCGGTGTTTGCTCAACCGATTTACCGAGTGACAGTCCCAGAGAACGTGCCCCCTGGCACCCTACTGCTTACTGTAAGAGCTAGTGACCTGGATGAGGGAGCCAATGGGGAAGTGGCATATAAATTCTGGAAAATCAGTGAAAAACAATCTCCATTATTCCAGCTCAATGAAAACACGGGAGAAATATCAACAGCAAAGAGTCTAGATTATGAAGAATGTGCATTTTATGAAATGGAAATACAAGCTGAAGATGGTGGGGGGTTGAAGGCAAGGACCAAAGTGCTCATTTCGGTGGAAGATATAAATGACAATAGACCTGAAGTGGTTGTTACATCTTTGTTTAGCCCAGTCTTGGAAAATACTCTTCCTGGAACAGTAATTGCCTTCTTGAATGTGCATGACCGAGACTCTGGGAAGAATGGTCAAGTTGTCTGTTACATACATGATAATTTACCTTTTCAATTAGAAAAGTCAATAGATAATTATTATAGATTAGTGACATGGAAATACTTGGACCGAGAAAAGATCTCCATGTACAATATCACAGTGATGGCCTCAGATCTAGGAACCCCACCTCTATCTACTGAAACTCATATCACACTACATGTGGCAGACACCAACGACAATCCACCCACTTTCTCTCATGCCTCCTACTCAGCCTATATCCTGGAAAACAACCCCAGAGGAGCTTCCATCTTCTCTGTGACTGCCCACGACCCTGACAGTGGCCAGAACGCCCAGGTCACTTATTCTCTGATGGAGGACACCATCATGGGGGCACCTCTCTCCTCTTATATCTCGATCAACTCTGACACCGGTGTACTGTATGCGCTGCGTTCCTTCGACTATGAGCAGATCCGAGACTTACAGGTACTGGTGATTGCCAGGGACAATGGGGACCCTCCACTCAGTAGCAATGTATCACTAAGTCTGTTCATTCTGGACCAGAATGACAACATGCCTGAAATTCTGTACCCCTCGCTCCCCACCGATGGTTCCACTGGGGTGGAGCTAGCACCCCGATCCGCAGAGCCTGGCTACCTGGTGACCAAGGTCGTGGCAGTGGACAGAGACTCAGGCCAGAACGCCTGGCTGTCCTACCGCCTGCTCAAGGCCAGCGAGCCAGGGCTCTTCGTGGTGGGGCTGCACACGGGCGAGGTGCGCACTGCGCGCGCCCTGCTGGACAGAGACGCGCTCAAGCAGAGCCTGGTGGTGGTGGTCCAGGACCACGGACAGCCTCCCCTCTCAGCCACAGTCATGCTCACGGTGGCCGTGGCTGACAGCATCCCAGATGTCTTAGCTGACCTAGGCAACATCAAGAACCCCACAACCTCTGATGATTCAGACCTCACATTGTACCTGGTGGTGGCCGTGGCCATTGTCTCCTGTGTCTTCCTTGCCTTTGTGGTTGTGCTACTGGCTCTCAGACTATGGAGATGGCACAAGTCTAGTCTGCTCCAGCCTTCAGGAAGAAAGTTGGTGGGCCTGCCAGCCTCAAGTTTTGTGGGTGTGGAAGGAGTACAGGCTTTCCTGCAGACCTATTCCCATGAGGTCTCTCTCACTGCAGACTCAGGGAAGAGTCACCTTATCTTCCCACAGCCCAATTATGCAGACACACTCATAAGCCAGGAGAGCTGTGAAAAACCTGATTCTTTGTTGACATCCATAGATTTTCATGAAGGTAAGGATGAGGCTGCTTCTGTTCAGGTGAGTTCAGTTTTTTGTTTACATTTATTTCTGAGGAATTAAAAACATAAATTTATGTGTTTTGAAGCACATACTGTGAAGAAAGTTTAAAATATTTTTAAAGTATACCACAAAATTTGGGGGTTATCTTAGTGGTGATATTATAAAATTGAGCTCTAATTATCATGGTTTGCTTCATTTGCTTTCCAAAAGATTGGACACAACTGTTTAAATATGAACTCTCAACCTTTTAAAGCCTTCCATATTTTACTATATCACTTAATCATTCATTGACTTAAGAAGTAGTTGCCCAACCACAGAAAGTAAGTTTGTTTTATATATAGGAATATATATGTTCCTATATTAAAACTATGGGGAAATTATTGAGACTCCTAAATCCCTGGATTATCTTAGTAGAAATAAAATACATCACAGAACTTTTAGCATTGTGTTTAGGGTCTGAGCCTAAAACTAAGCTCTGAAAGATTCCTTCACTTAAAACCTCTTTTCTGATCCCCATGTACACATTAGTACCCTTCAAAACTTTTATGCTTCTTATATTTCAAAATGTAAACATATTTTTTATTTTAAAAAATATTTTATTTATTTTTAGAGAAGGGAAGGGAGGGAGAAAGAGAGAAAAACATCAATGTGTGGTTGCATCTTGTGCACCCCCTACTGGGAACCTGGCCTGCAACCCAGGCAAGTGCCCTACACTGGTAATCAAACCAGGGACCCTTTGGTTCACAGGGCAGCACTCACTCCACTGAGCCACACCAACTAGGGCTCAAAATGTAAACATATTTTCAATGGTGGATTGTGGTGGTAGGTTTGACTGGTCTCTAAATGTTGAGTGTGTGTGTCAGTGGTCACTCAGGCTCATAAAAATAGAGACATGGAATCTAAAGTCTAAAATAGCCATTGCCCCTTCCCCAAAAACAAACCAACAAAATCAGATTTGAAATAAAATGTAATTTTAAACTGTTAAAATAGACTTTTGTAAAATGCAGAAGACCATGTTTCAGTAGAATTCCAATGAGCTGTTTTGATGGTGCAGTTATGTGAAATGTGCTGAGTGCTACAGTAAGAGAGTTTGAGAATGTAGGTTTAAAGAATAGAAATTTCATGTATACAAATTCTAAACAAGGTAATCAGTTCAGCTAAATATGATCCTGTCTGAACAATGTGTGTGTATTTTGCATGTCATGTTATAGCATTTTAATGAAGCTAACCTCTGATTTGTCATCAGGTGAAAGTAGAAAATACAATAATTCATTTGTTAGTAATATAGAAGGCATTTGCCAAGGATGGTACAGTGAGCCCTCCTATTTTGCATATACAGTGGGTGGGAGTTAACTTTCTATTTTCTGTAATGTTTGGGTGCACAGTCATTTAGGGGAAGAGCTGTATTATTGACACTTTGCAATTTTAAAAAGTATGTGGAAAGTTGCCTTAATAAAAAATAAAATCCTTACTCTTGGTCAAAATGTTCATTAACTTTCAAAAAATTGAAATGAAGTAAAGTGATTAGAAAAAATGTCTCTATATTCAGTAAATTTATTTAAAAATACTTATCATGAGCTCAATTGCTCCAGTTTCAAAGTCATTACTTCAGTATATCATAGGTACATAAATACGAAAGTAATGCAGCATATTGGAATATCCCTTTGTGAGTTTATATTGAAGAATAGATAAACACTTCTCTGGTAACTTTTAAGAATGAACTTACATACTATATTGGGTAGAACATAAGCCAAGTAATTTTGAGATGGGAAGAAGAGAGTAAATCGTGCCTTGGCAATATCATAAGGATAGTTTTTACTGAACAAATACTTCCTGAGGAGTCAGGAGAGTAATAAGAAATTATTTCTTATAAAGAGAGTATTGATATTATCAGAAGGAGGAGATGTTTGAGGATTGGCACAAAATTGTAAAACTTTACCAGTAATTTTAACAGTATTGATGTTCTCTTAATATATGTGATGTGAAATAACATAAATTATGTAGAAATGTTGGGGCAAAACATAGGAATCAATAAAAGAAAGTAGGAAATTATTTCACATGTCATAACTAATAAAGATGAATTTGTGAAATCAGCAGATGATAAACTCTGAGGGCAATAGCTGTGACTTGCCCATTGTTATATTGCCACTAATGAGGGCAGAACTTAGCACAAGGCGAGAGTTCAGTGTAGGTTGGTACAATGGCGAAATGAATGCACCAATACGGGCTAGGGGAAAAGTGGGTTTACAGCTGTGAGTACGTGAAGCACAGAGTTTATTCTTGTATCATTATCTCTTACGTATCGTATATTTTCCATATGGGCAAATGTAAATCTACTTTTGCTCCACACTGTATGTGTAGCTTTGTATAAAAACCCAACATGACATGCCTAATAATTTGAAAACTGGGGAAAAGATACCTTAAAGAAGACTTTCTGATGTAAGATGTAAATATGTTAACAAAAAACATGGCTTGTTCAGTCAAACACACGATGATATTCGTAATCACTGTAACTGGTTAGACTGAAGCAGCAGAGGCTGCAGTTTCCTACCGCGGACTCTGGGCGCCGCTGTTGGCCAGGGTGGAGAGCTTGGCAGGGCGATCGCCTCGCGCAGCCGCAGCTCACTTTCCTCGTCTCAGATTCGCTAGGGCGAGCCTTTCCACCGCCTCCTCCTCTGGAAAAGAAGCAGCCCTGACCCCCACGCAGGAGCTAAAGCCTGTTCGGAGCTCCGGACATCGGCAACACAGAGATTACTTGTCATCCGGCGTCTTCAGGCCGGTGAGCAAGCTGAGGGGAGCCAGAGAGGGATGGGGAGCGGCGCTGGGGACAGGGGCCGGGCTGAGCGGCGGCCAGTGCTCTTTCCCCTCCTGCTGTCTTTGTTCTGCCCGGCGCTCTCTGAGCCGATCCGCTACAGGATTCCCGAGGAAATGCCCGAGGGCTCGGTGGTGGGGAACCTCGCCAAAGACCTGGGACTCAGTGTCCGCGAGTTACCGACTCGAAAGCTGCGCGTCAGTTCAGAGAAGCCTTACTTCACTGTGAGCGCAGAGCGCGGGCAGTTACTTGTGAGCGGCAGGCTGGACCGGGAGCAGATATGCGGGAAGAAGCCAGTCTGTGCCCTGGAATTTGAGGCTGTTGCTGAAAATCCATTAAACTTCTACCACGTGAACGTGGAGATCGAGGATATTAATGATCACACCCCCAAATTCATGCAAAATCCCTTTGAGCTGCAAATAAGTGAGTCCACATTGCCAGGCACGCGATTTATATTAGAAGTAGCAGAAGATGGAGACATTGGCTTAAACTCTTTGCAGAATTATAAACTCTCTCTCAGCTCCAGTTTCTCATTGATAAATAAGGAGAAACAAGATGGTAGTAAATACCCAGAACTGAAATTAGAGAAACCTTTAGACCGGGAACAACAAAGTTATCATCGGTTAGTTCTTACTGCCTTGGACAGCGGAGACCCACCTCTAAGTGGCACCACAGAGCTCCGGATCCAGGTCACTGATGCCAATGATAACCCCCCTGTGTTCAGCCAGGACATATACAGAGTCAGTCTTCCAGAAAACGTGCCTCCTGGCACCTCTGTGCTGCGAGTGTCAGCCACCGACCTGGACGAGGGTGTCAACTCAGAAATAACTTATTCCTTCTACAGGACTGGGCAAGTTTTCCATCTGAATTCAAGGAGTGGGGAAATTACCACTTTAAGTACGCTGGATTTTGAAGAAATCAAAGAATATTCTATAGTAGTGGAAGGAAGGGATGGTGGAGGACTGGCTGCACAATGTACAGTTGAAATTAACATTCAAGATGAAAATGACAACATTCCAGAAATTACATTCCATTCTCTAGTAGAAATGATTCTGGAAAACGCCGTGCCAGGAACACTAATTGCATTGATCAAAATATATGACCAAGATTCTGGGGAAAATGGGGAGGTTAATTGTAGATTAGAGGGTGAATCCCCTTTTCAGATAATCTCTTTGTCCAAAAGTTCGCATAAGTTGATAACAGACGGAACCCTCGATCGGGAGCAGACCCCTGAGTACAACGTCACCATCACAGCCACCGACAGGGGCAAACCGCCCCTCTCCTCCAGCACCACCCTCACCCTGCACATCGGGGACGTCAACGACAACGCTCCGGTTTTCCAACAGTCCGCCTACCTGACCCACGTGCCAGAAAACAATCCACCCGGGGCCTCCATAGCGCAGGTCAGCGCCTCCGACCCCGACCTGGGACCCAACGGCCACGTCTCCTACTCCATCGTGGCCAGCGACCTGGAGCCGCGGGCGCTGTCGTCCTACGTGTCCGTGAACGCGCAGAGCGGGGTGGTGTTCGCGCAGCGCGCCTTCGACCACGAGCAGCTGCGCGCCTTCGAGCTGACGCTGCAGGCTCGCGACCAGGGCTCGCCCGCGCTCGGCGCCAACGTCAGCCTGCGCGTGTTGGTGGACGACCGCAACGACAACGCGCCAAGGGTGCTGTACCCGGCGCTGGGGCCCGACGGCTCCGCGCTCTTCGACACGGTGCCGCGCGCCGCGCAGCCCGGCTACCTGGTCACCAAGGTGGTGGCGGTGGACGCGGACTCGGGACACAACGCCTGGCTGTCGTACCACGTGCTGCAGGCCAGCGAGCCGGGCCTGTTCAGCCTGGGGCTGCGCACGGGCGAGGTGCGCACGGCGCGTGCTTTGGGCGACAGGGACGCGGCGCGCCAGCGCCTGCTGGTCGCGGTGCGCGACGGGGGACAGCCGCCCCTCTCGGCCACCGCCACGCTGCTCCTGGTCTTCGCTGACAGCCTCCAAGAGGCCCTGCCGGACCTCAGCGAACGCCCAGCGCCGTCCGACCCCCAGGCTGAGCTGCAGTTTTACCTGGTGGTGGCCTTGGCCTTGATCTCCGTGCTCTTCCTCCTGGCCGTGATTCTGGCGGTTGCGCTGCGCCTGCGACGCTCCTCCAGCCTCAGCACCTGGAGCTGCTTTCAGCCCGGTCTCTGCACTAAGACTGGACCGGTGGTTCCCCCCATCTACAGTGAAGGGACTCTACCTTATTCCTACAATCTGTGCGTTGCCCAAGCTGGAAAGACAGAGTTTAATTTTCTAAAATGTAAGGAGCAGTTGAGTTCAGGACAAGATATACTTTGTGGTGATTCATCTGGGGCCTTATTTCCGCTTTGTAATTCCAATGAGTCGACATCCCATCCTGAAACACTAACAGCGGTGAGTTTTATCTAAGTGTCTAGTCCTTTTCATCATCTACCTAATTTTCCATGTTTGTATAAAAATATATTTTCAAATCTAGTGAATTGACTAAGGGTATTATAGCCTGACAGAAAGCTGTACTTCCATTCTTCAAGGGAAGTGGTGAATTGAAAGTACTTATGTGCAGCAAAACAGAGTTACCTTACCAAAGTTTGGAAATACAAAATAGAATGTCCTCTTTTTTCACAGCGAAAGTACTCTACCAATTTTTTTAATCCTCCTCTGAGCATTTGTTTCTTGATTATAGAGGAGGGAGGGAGGGTGGGTGGGGAGGGAGGGAGGGGGAGAGAGAGAGAGAGACAGAGAGAGAGAGAGAGAGAGAGAGAGAGAGAGAGAGAGAGAGACACCAATGTAAAAGAAAGACAGTTGGTTGAGTCTCTCCTATGGGGGTAGGGGTGGCAGGGGGATTGAAGCAACATAGGTATATGATGTACCCTGACCAAGGATGGAACCTGCAACCTTTTGATGTATGGACAAGGCTCCAATCAGCTGAGCCATCTAGCCAGGGCAATTTTGTACTAATTTCTTACCCTTTTTTCAGAGCTATTGAAATTTACTCACTAATTATCTCATTACTTATTTAACATGTTAAATTTTTTATTGTACATAAACATTAAATTTAAAGTAAGCAATCATTTAAATCATCCTTGAGCAAAGAAAATACTATATTTTTCTTCACTGATTTCACTGGTACCATTTCTGTCCATTTTTTACGTTTATTCCTCATGCCTAATGCCTTATATACACCTACTTATGATTCTTTGGATCCCTTAAAGTGGTAGGAAAAATAACCTGCATGTGTTGTGTGTGTATATGTGAGAGTGAGACTCAGTGAATTCACCAGAAGATCCAAATCATTGTCTAAGCTCCTTCAAGTTTTCTTGAATGCAAAATCTTCCTCTTCCTCTTCATAGTTATCAGAAGGAGAAACTTGATAAAAGAAAAAGGAAATGCTATTGCCTCTATCACTTACTGTCATCCTTGGCCTATATTTCTTGAAGAAGATAAAGGGGAAAGGTCACCAGACCTGTCTTGCTACCTGGGCCTTAAACATTAGTGACTAGAACTTTTCTCATCATCATTGCATCTATAGAAGGGAAGGAGAATGGTGAATTTTCCACTTTAAAGGCAAAAATTTCTAATTACATGCATACATAAATTTACCATTCAGTGAGTACCAGACATATGCTTGGTTTCTCTTAGGAATTGCCTTAGTAAATGGTGTCTTTACAAACTGCTGAAAGAAATGTCTTATAATGGCACTTACTTTTTACTTTCTAGTGGTAATAATTTGTCTATGTCTTGTGTTCTTTTCCCCAAATTATTATGTAAGTATCCATAACTCTTAGAATAAGTTTAAGACTACTTTAAAACTGCATAATTTTTTGATGGAAGGATTGAATGAAAACCTGCTTTTCAGTGTGTTTATCTGAATCTTCCAAATGTATTATGTATTCACATAGAACACTTAAAAAAATTAAGTAACTTAAGTTTTACAATCACAAATGTGTAAAATTTAAAAACCAATGCTTTTTAAATTTAGCAATAGTAGGTGAGAAAGTCTATCACTATTGCTTAATTTAAATTATTTTTGTAAATAAAATTTTAAGGAAACCTTATTCAAAAAATTTTACTATCAAAGTAGTTAACCTTACAAAATAACTTGAAAGTGAAAAATCTATCCATATATATTCACTCAGTATAAATTATGTAAGATACATATGTGTCTAAAGTTAAAAATAGAAAGCCCAATTCTACCCAGAAGTAGAGTAAGTAAATTTTATGTTAAGAAAAATGGCAACTTAATAATATACTTAATAGAAACTTAATTACATTTCATTTCCAACTAAAATATCCACAAAGATGATTGCTTTTGAAATATAAATATAAGAAACAGAGAAACCTAAAAATCATAATTAGAAGAGGGTAGTGTTTTCTCTCAGTCATCTCTGATAAATACTGGATTGCGTATCTCAATGAGTGTAGTAACAGTTTAAGACTCTGAGCGTCGCTATTCACCAACTCTAAGAAAAGCTCAAACAGCGCTCCATCTGGATATTATAATCTGCAACTACACAAAGCCCGGCGGATCCCTCAAACCGACTCCGGAACTGCAACAAAATCAGACTCTTAATTCGGGGCACTCTGGGTTTCTCCTGAGGAAAGACATCACCATAATTTGCAGGAGGAAAAAAGAACCTAAGGAGTCAGCTTGCACAGAAAGAAAGCAGTCTGAAAAAATCCGGAGTGAAGCAACAATGGCGGCTCCGATGAATAGCGCGGACCACAGGGGACTGGTCCTGCTGTGCCTTTTCCTGGGGAGATTGTGGGAGATCCGGGCCAGTCAGATCTGCTACTCCGTGCCCGAAGAGACAGTAAAAGGCTATACTGTGGGCAACATCTCCAAGGATCTGGGGCTGGAGCCCCAGGAGCTGGCGGAGCGCGGAGTCCGCATCGTCTCCAGAGGTAGGACGCAGCTTTTCGCTCTGAACCCGCGGAGTGGCAGCTTGATCACCGCGGGGAGGATAGACAGGGAGGAGCTCTGCGCCCAGAGTGCTCGATGTCTGTTTAACTTTAAAGTCCTGGTAGAAGATAGAGTGCAACTTTATGGAATAGAAATAGAAGTCACTGATGTGAACGACAATGCCCCAAAATTCCAGGCCGAAAATCTGGAAATAAAAATTAACGAAATCACTGCGGCTGGCACACGTTATCCGCTCCCAGAGGCCTTTGACCCAGATGTGGGCTTGAATTCCCTGCAGAGCTACCAGCTCAGCCCCAATCACCACTTCTCCCTGGACGTGCGAACTGCAGACGACGGAACTATGAACCCTGGGCTGGTGCTAGAGCGCGCCCTGGACCGCGAGGAAGAGGCTGCTCACCAGCTGGTGCTCATCGCCTCTGATGGCGGCGAACCTCGTCGCTCCAGCACAGTGCACATCAAAGTGACAGTGTTGGATGTGAATGACAATGCCCCGGTGTTTGCTCAACCGATTTACCGAGTGACAGTCCCAGAGAACGTGCCCCCTGGCACCCTACTGCTTACTGTAAGAGCTAGTGACCTGGATGAGGGAGCCAATGGGGAAGTGGCATATAAATTCTGGAAAATCAGTGAAAAACAATCTCCATTATTCCAGCTCAATGAAAACACGGGAGAAATATCAACAGCAAAGAGTCTAGATTATGAAGAATGTGCATTTTATGAAATGGAAATACAAGCTGAAGATGGTGGGGGGTTGAAGGCATGGACCAAAGTGCTCATTTCGGTGGAAGATATAAATGACAATAGACCTGAAGTGGTTGTTACATCTTTGTTTAGTCCAGTGAGGGAAGATGCTCCTCAAGGAACAGTAATTGTCCTTTTCAATGCTCATGACAGAGACTCTGGAAAGAATGGTCAAGTTGTTTGTACCATCCAGGAGAGCCTACCTTTTCAACTAGAAAAGTCAATAGAAGACTATTACAGATTGTTGACATCCCAAATTCTTGACCGAGAAAAAACGTCTCAATATAACATCACAGTGATCGCAACAGACAGAGGAACACCACCCCTGTCCACAGAAATTCACATCACTGTGCATGTGGTCGACATCAACGACAATCCACCCTCCTTCTCTCAAGCCTCCTTCTCAGTCTATCTCCCTGAGAACAACCTTAGAGGCACCTCCATCTTCTCTGTGACAGCCCATGACCCTGACAGCAGTGAGAATGCCCGAGTTATTTACTCCCTGGCTGAAGACACCATCCAAGAGGCACCTCTATCCTCCTATGTCTCCATCAACTCTGACACAGGAGTACTGTATGCACTTCAATCGTTTGATTATGAGCAGTTTCGGGACCTACAGATGCAGGTGACTGCCACTGATAGTGGGGAACCACCACTCAGCAGCAACGTTTCCCTGAGCATATTTGTGCTGGACCAGAATGACAATGCTCCAGAGATCCTGTACCCCTCACTCCCCACCGATGGCTCCACCGGTGTGGAGCTGGCACCCCGCTCTGCAGAACCCGGCTACCTGGTGACCAAGGTCGTGGCAGTGGACAGAGACTCAGGCCAGAACGCCTGGCTGTCCTACCGCCTGCTCAAGGCCAGCGAGCCAGGGCTCTTCGTGGTGGGGCTGCACACGGGCGAGGTGCGCACTGCGCGCGCCCTGCTGGACAGAGACGCGCTCAAGCAGAGCCTGGTGGTGGTGGTCCAGGACCACGGACAGCCTCCCCTCTCAGCCACGGTCACACTCACAGTGGCCGTGGCTGACAGCATCCCAGACGTCCTGGCCGACCTGAGCAGTCTTGAACCCTCCGCCGACCCTGACGACTCCAGCCTCACGCTCTACCTGGTGGTGGCAGTGGCTGCTGTCTCTTGTGTCTTTCTTGCCTTTGTCATCGTGTTGCTGGCACTCAGGCTGAGGCGCTGGCACATGTCACGTCTGCTCCAGGCTTCAGGAGGGGGATTGGCAGGCTTGCCCGCCTCGCACTTTGTGGGCGTGGACGGGGTGCGGGCCTTCCTGCAGACGTATTCGCACGAGGTCTCCCTGACCGCGGACTCGCGGAAGAGTCACCTGATCTTCCCGCAGCCCAACTACGCAGACACGCTCATCAGCCAGGAGAGCTGTGAGAAAAAGGATCCTTTGTGCCTTTCAGATGATTCCAGGTTTCCTATAGAAGACACCCCTTTGGTTCCAGTGAGTTGTTTTTTGTTTTTTTTTTTTTTTAATTTTTGATTACAATTGGTTTTCTCGGCAAGTGTTTGTACTTAAGGTAAGATATAATGATATTTACATATTTCTCAACATTTAAGTTTTTACTTGGCCCAATTTTTGTCCTAACATCTATCAAAGGCATTTATTAGTTACATCACTGACATAATTTTTATTTTCTCATAATGCTTAACTAGGTCAACGAAACCTTTCTTTGGGGACTGCTGTCTTGATCCAGCATTAATATGAGCTTTTTGGATGGGTTTCCTTGATTAG